CTACCGCACTTGTTTCAAAAAAAAAAGATGACAAGGCGAGTTGGAGCAGAGGGTGGGTTATCACGCGTCCTGCCAGTGAGGGGGCTAGCTGGCAGGATGGGAGTATGGTACAGCAGCAGCAGAGATGGTGGCTCCGCTGCAGTCAGTCTTGCCGGAGTGAGGTAAAGTGGTGTGATGGGGGGATCTCCTGAGTAGTTCCTGAAATTTGTTATAAATCATGAAGATTGTTGTAGACATGTCTGAAGCTGCTCCAATATCTCTGAGTCAAAGCCGAGTAATGGTAATGGTCCCGGTATCTTAATTTTCAAATACTATTCTTAGACCAATTGGATTTTTCTAGTAGGTTTTTAGTGACGAATCTTCTGAAGGTATTCATTATGGGACGCTGGGCCCGGTTCCCAGTTCGTGCCAATTTGTGAGGTAATGCTTGTATCTATGGGACGCTGGACCCGATTTCCAGCAGGTGTTGCTCCCCACCAATAGATGGAGCTGTTTCGAAAAAAAAAAAAAAAAAAAAAAGATGAGAAGGTGAGAGACAATCTGAGAATCGGTGATCTAGTTCGTCTGCTTTTTTTTTTTCCCAGAAGGAAAGAACTCGTCATTTCCAACCCAATTCAATCTTCTGTCGAATCTGACAGGATGGCCATCCCGACCTTGTTATCGGCCAGGGGTTAGTCGGTAGCATCAGGTGCACCCGACCTGCAGGTGGACGCACCTGTAGCAGCCATAACCATGTTCAGATCAGAACATGCGAGGCTGCACCCCACCTGCAGGTGGGCATTACCGGCCAGGGGTCAGCCGGTAGCGTCAGGACCCGAGCTTCATTCGAGTGGCCAGTCACCGTGCCTCCCCTCCTGTCCCCTCCCCCAACAAACATTATCAGCAGTATCAGAGACTGCCTTTTCTTTTTCTACTCTTCCTTAGTTGCTTTTTATTGCAAATGGCCATGGCCTTGAGGTATCACCATCCAGTGGCTCAAAGGTTGGAAGAGTCGCCTACAGGTGTTGCAATAAGCAGATGGTCCACGCTGGACGTGGTGGAAATCAGCACATAGCGGAGGAAATGCATCGCTGCTAGAGCCAACTGATCGCAGCTCCGGTTCCAAGAGTGACAGCGCTCCGGTAGCTTCTCTCTTTGATAGCCACCCCCTCGGCAGTTTGGCTGTTCAGCAGAGGACTAGAGAAACAAAAAGGTTAAAAAAAAAAAGAAACAAGTGCCGTAGTAGCACACTTTCAAACTGTCAAGGCAAAAAAAACACTAATGGGTAACGCAAAAATGGCCGCAGTTTGAAAAGGCAGTCGTAACATCAGAAGGCGGTAACATCAGGCCCCGAGTTTGAAAAGGGCGGTTGTAGCACCCTTTTTTTTTTTTTTTTTTTTCCTTCGATCGCGCGTCCCGCGCCAAAAAAAAAAAAAAAAAAAAAAAAAAAAAAAAAA